ATACTTAATTCTTTTCAATGGAGATTTCTTCCTGTCAGTGAAGCCCACCTACGCTGAAAAGTCTAGAAGCGCGGTACAGTTGTTTCATCCTTATTAAGAATCACCCGTAGTGCCATCTCACGAAACACCAGAAAGCTCCGAACCCGCAACTTCGTAGCTGGTAGCTTGAACACTTATCCCTTCGGTTACGGGCGGCTGGGCAGCAGGCCCTTACTTAGAATGGATATAGCGCCACTTATCCTTCAACCACGGACACCACATCACGTGGTCACGTATTGACTGACTCCTCAGTTGACTTCTCAGAAGGGGGTATCACACATCTTGTGGAATTATCCTTCTTCTGAGCTGCTTATCGATCAAGAGCGACGGGAGGAAATTTTAACATGTAACTGTAGTGGTGCTGGAATCCATACAATGAGACTGCCATAATTCCCACCACTCTACGGAATATTTCACCCCAAATAGCCACATACCAATGAACTTGGTGTCGCCCCGATGCTCCAAGCTTTTTTCCCTCCTGTCTTGTTTGGCTATCGCCACTGGAAGCCGTCGACACTGGAACCGCATGCTCTCTTGGCCTCCGGTCTCGGATTTAAGCAGGTTAGAATTCATTCACGTGGTTACCCTGTGAAAATTGGTATGCGATATTAAATAACCTGCTCGTAATTCCGTTGGGTTGATGAAACAAATCTCGAGACGAAAACAAAGCCTCAATGCAGCGTATCGCGATAATAGGCTAATGTTATCTTGTGACAACCTACAAGCCAAACCATATTACACGCTCGCCTCGCATGTCGGATGTTCGGGGTTCACATCCCGGCACAGTCATTGGATATGCACTGCTGACGAGCTCTAATAAGGGCGAAACTCGAATCCAGTGCTTCCCTCTGGTGTGGACTCACCGGAATACTTACACCAGAACAAGAGGACGACCGTTCAAACGAGAGTGGTATGACTATGAACATAATACTAAAGGTATGGGTTGGAGGACTAAGTGCGAGGAATAATCATGCACGACGAGACCTCCGAAAAAAGCCGGAATCAACAGTTGTCAGGCCACTCCAGTACAATGGCGGTCAAGTAAGCCAGGCTCGAAAAAACGAAGCGAGACTAAATCAGCAACGCGAAATAACGGGAAACCGCAAAATAGCTCACAGTCACCTAAGGAGATCCAACAATGGACATACGCAGCGACCGGTCGAGGTTTTCAATCAAACCAATGATGAAAACTATCTGTCCACAGGGACCGCAGATATGTACAGAAACGTCATTCCTAATTCCCAACAGGAAGTGTCGGTTCTGAAAGGAAAAGCGCGAGGGGATTACTGACCGTATAGCGGTTCAGAATCCAGATAAATGGTCAGAAAGATTTGTCTGACTAGTCTGACTAGATCCTCGTCGAGGCTCTACAAGTTTGACGCTGTCTAGCCCTCTAGTGTTCTTCGCATATCCCTAAAAAAACAGGTTCTGGAACTGGCAGAATGCTCCAACACAAAAGTCAGTCAGTCGAGTGACTTAGCTAACTCACTTACAGGTACGCTTCGAAAACTGGTGGTGTTCGAATATTGGAACATAACCATCACAATCCCGCGGATAAAACCACTGAGTGCAGTTACTGGTTATTACTACAGAAATCCCCTGATTAGTTTTCAGCTGTAGCACCGTTTTGGTACCTAGCTGCCATGTCGCCAGTAGGAAGCATGAGGGCTGGGATAATGCCAGGTTGCTCAAGCCTAGACAGGGGAAGTCGGGAGGCAGAGGTCGAGTGCGACTTCCCTTGTTTGGGCGAGATGGCTCAGTGGTATCTCCTGATTAACATACTGCCGAACAATTAAGCTCACTTCGCAAGGTCACGTTTAAATCACACACACACATACAAAATAGATACACCACATCTTGTAAATGATATTCCTCATGCTCGTTAACATTTAATTAACAAAGTACAAAACTCTGAGAGGTTCCCAGGTGCGATAGCTTCTTAGACCATCTGCCTTCCGGTCGACAGTCAAACGTGAGCAAACCCTGTCATCTCAGTAAAAATCAAACAGAAAACTAGCCGGCCCATTGAGTCACAGAGGGTTTTATCTGATCCTGATGGACCGGTCAGAACATTCTGTTTACTGTTGTAGGGAAAACTGATTTGTTTTCACCATCATCTTGTTGTGAATGACGTCTGCTGTTTCCGTGTAAGCTGTTGTTGTGTATATGGGTTGCGTCAGTGTCATTGACGTGTACATCTCAATGCGCTATGCATTTGCACCCAACCCAGCCGCATGTGACCCACACTGAACTTCAGGTTCCATCGATCTCTCGCAGTTGCGTTCACCTCAGCACCAACCTATCGACCCAGTTGCCTGCTCCCACACGGGCGACATGTCACATGACTACAATTACTTACACAGCGTTGCAGTTGGGCTTAGGGAAGTAATCACATGCCAGTGTGACCAGTATCTGATGGCAGTTATCTGTGTGCAGGCTAAAATTTCAGCCATATCATGTAATAGATGCAAACAGTAACTTGGTTAGTCATTTTAGCAGAATTCAAGGGACAAATACCAGTCCGCATATACGTTTGGCAGCTGTCGATGCCTACAGACTCAGTGCAAAGTTCGTGGTACCACTTCAGTGATATCCAGCAACAAACTGAGGGCAAGTGTCACAATTACACTCATCTGCAAATCGATTTGGTCTTCAAGAGAGACTCAACTGATTCTCTCGTTTGTGATATTCTACAAGTGAATGTGCTGCACACAGGCCATCTCCTGTTTCAGTTGGCACGATATTCGAGATATCGAAGTTATTTTCACAAAGGACACTACTCACAAGGTTGCTGAAAACAGCCCACAACTGGTTTCGCCCTTCTTGGGGCTCACCAGGTGGGCGTGTTCCCCTAGTTTCCCTCAACCTCATGTTCTACTTGGACCCAAATTGGACCGATTTTCACAATTGCACTCATTCGCAAATCAATTTGGTTTTCATGAGAGACTCAACTGAATCTCTCGTCTATAATAATATTGAGGTCAAGTGGTATGAAATTTAGTAGAATGCTCCAGGGGGCGAGTTGACACAAGTCGTCACACATGCCGCGGCAACTAACATCTCTGGGGGGAGGGCAAATTGACAATGGTCTAACCCCGTCAGGACGCCTCCAGCCTTTCGGCACGTTGACTTGTACACAACCATACAAGGCGCGCCCGGCTAATAATTAGCATTTGTGTTAACCATCGTTTCTAAATTCCCCCTCTGTGACACGGAGGTTAGATATCACGTTGCTTCACACTTTGGAACATTCGTACGTGGATTATCGGTGGGATTTGATGATTTTCTTTTTTTGCCTTGCGTTCACAAAACCTGATCTCCACTTGCTTGATATAACAAAAATCATCGTCAAGTGATGATGGGTGTGTAGATTTGGTGCTAGTCTTGAACCAGATGACCATATTGAAGGTGTAGCAGCTGGTAGATTGCCACACACCAGAGTCACAGTAGGCTTACCCTGATGAAAATTAGCACGAGTTTATCGTCTGCTCCCAAACCATCCCCCTCGAAACCCATGAGACTATCCAAAACATCTGATTGCCCGACTGCTGAGTCGCACAAAAGTGCCATGAAATTGGGTGACAAGGGCACTAAAAAAATAATAATCGCTCAGCTGTAACACCCTTCTGGTGCCAAGCTGCCATGCTACCCGAAGGAAGCACGAGGGCTGAGATACTGTCAGGTTGCCCAAGCCTAGACAGGGGAAGTAGAGAGGCAGAGGTCAGGTTCGAACCACGGACCTTCCGGTCAGTAAATTCGCGCTCTAACCACTTGAGCCACCTCGTCCCCCTAACCTGGGAAGCAACGCAATCGGCGTTCAGTGAGTGGACGATGAAGATGGTCGCTGTGGGGGCGCTAGGTGAAGTAAAAGTGAACGCTAACTCGCTAGTTCCACATCATTTTCATGAAATTTTCAACAGCCTCCAAAAGCTTCAATTAAAAGGCAGTGGCATTCAAGGGAGAGCAAGGTAGTGGAGTACCATTAGGGTCAAAAACCATTTTCTTTGTCGTATTACAAGGATCCTAAACAGGAGACAGGCTTTGATTTAGACACGTCCGGTTGGCCTTTAAACTTCATGCGCAAACATAATCTATGGACAAATGGGTCAACTTTGACCGGTGTTCGATTTTGACAGCCCGTCAGTTGTGCATATTCCCACACACGACCTAAATGTGCAGGTCAAGGTGGATATGATGACAACATAGGCGAAGATTCACGATTGCTTATTATTCGCATAAGGTGACATGCATTTCGGTCACAGGTGTGTTTTCTTGGGCTTAACGAACACAAACTGAAGCAGCGGGTTGATCAGATGATATCAGAGACATTTTTCGAGAGAGTGACCTTCGAGCTTTTATTGAATTTTCGAAATTCCCCGGAAAGTGTCATCATCAGAATTTTGGAGGAGGAGGTAAGCCGCATCATGTATCCTTACTGTTCACTCCAGCTTGATAAAACAATGATCGCCAAGATACCGCGCTTTGCTCGGCCACATTCCTGTCGCCAGCAATGGACTTGACAGTGAACACAAATCAACCTGGAGGCATAAAACGAAAAATCGTTGTTCTTGCTTCGCGAATTATCTGTTTTACTCATTGTCACTTATGGTGCACACGTTTTGTGAGCTTTTGGATGTGTCCAGTTTGGATAAACTGTGTGTATTACCTGTGGATTTGAACCGCCATGTGCGTGTCTACTGGTGCATAGCAAATTCTCAATGCAGTTCGTACTTAGCGTACAATCCACATGTAACGAACACAGCAAGTCAGCACGACCACTAGGCGCTGACGAGAACAAAGCACCAGAAATCTTTAGTATCACCTGGAATTAGTTGCACACGTGGTTTTTCGTGTTTCCCAAACTATCCACTAATTCACTTACATCGCCTATAGATCCTACAAATTCAGACATTCAAAAACGAATTCACTGCTTTTTTCAAACCCAACGAAAGACTGCTTACCGGTACTCATTCCTGATGACAACGCGGTCTTGCCCAAGTGAGCTTTAGTCATATGAATGTTCCTTGAACGTCTGTCGACAAAATTTCGGGCACATATTACACATTGAACACCATTGGATAGACGATTGATTCTGGGTGTTTCACTCTCTCCGATAGGTAGTGCAGTCACCTTAGACTGAAAGTTTGATCCTCTGCTACGATGTGACATTTCGGGGCTCGTAGGAATGGAGCCAACGGTAAGTGGGACTGTCAAACTAAGCGATGTTTGATTGATTCTGCCAGGTCCCTCATCACTTTCCACGGTTGGTTTGTCCAATGAACCACTGTCCACGTTATTCTCCTTGTCACTGTTAACGGGTTGGTCTTGAACCCTTGCCTCGGTGGTACTCTGATTAGCCGCTTTGGAGACATCCATAACCTCACTGACGTTGGATACAGTGGTTTCTTGTGTAACTAGAGTATCTGCGCCCGCTGAGTCCTCCACATCAACGTTTCGGTGGAAGATGTCGACTTGGGTGGTAGTGGTGGCAATATTCGGTTGGGACTTTGTCGGTTCCTGCACGCCAAGTTGTGCAGGTGCTTTCTTCACAGTCTCTTCAATGTCAGATCTACGGAATTCTATTGTACTGTCTCGCCATTTCACCTCATTGTCACTATCATTGTCACTCTCGGATTCAAGTTCCAGAACAACCCCAGCAAGGTGGGGTACGCGGAAGCTTGGAGGGTTTTGCGCGTAGATTGAAGGGCCAACGAAGGACTGAGCTGATGTTTGGGCTCCATTTTGGTGTGACCTTGAGCTCTCGTTCCAAAAACATAATTCAGGACCGATTTCCATTGTATTTGATTAGATTACTGTGGACAAGAAGAGGGAGATACATCTGTGTAAGAAAATCAGCGCCTGCTGGTAACTATAGCGACAGAAATGTAAGCCAGAATAGGTAAAAAAAAAAACTAGATACAAAGTTATGCTATAACTCTGCCCTTCTACGCATACCTTCACGGCTACTTGTCTACGGTGGAGGGTCAGTTAGCATAGAAGAAATTCATGGACCAGGCGTTATCGAATCAGACAACACGGGCAACACGTCAGATCAAATACTGGTATTGTAGGTTTAAACACACATCGGCACCAGCCAGAGATATATGTGGGCAGAACGTGCCTTTTAGAATAACGTTCGCGTCTACCCTGAGGCTTTCGGTTCATCGATTTACCACAAGGTCTAAAAATGGACATATTGTTAGTTATAACAAACCAACATGTCTGGTGTGTTTTTACCTTCTTAAATTTCTACCTCTAACATGAATGCACATATTTTTCTGGGCGCCATACCTGAGCAGACGTTCATTTACATGGATTGATTCAATCAGAATCAAAAACAAGGAATCGTTATTTGTTGTCTGATAATTTGTAGCGCGCTCCAATGCAACAAACAGACCAGTGGAAATCGATAACTGATTGCTATTATTTGTGACTCCGAAGGTCTCAACTTACAGCCGTAGTTTTTTAAGGTAGACGAGTATGAAAAACATATATATGATTGTTTATAAATACAACTTGGACTACAGCACGGTACTGACTAAAAGAACACTGTATACGGCCATATAAAAATTGATAATCCTAAATCTACGAATCCGATGCAGCTCAAAAGAGATAGTAGGTTGTATTGATCACTCACAGACGTGAAGCAGTCTTCATAGCTCTGACTACGGGTGGCGGCTAGCGCGCAACGAGGCCATATTCTCCTCAATTTTATCACCATCATCATTATTTTCGATGAGTTCATTTTACACGGATCCCCGTAGGGCATTTATCCCGAGATTAGGTATATACTCCCACATTCCTACATGCTACCCTTGAATTTCAGTGCCCATTTCTGTCCCGAGGAAAAACGTTGACTTTACAGTGAGTCGAACTCCGGGAACTCCAGAGAATCGCGAATTCGTATTCAGCTGGAACAACTCTTTATGGGTTACTCACACACTACTGATCAGTCGCTCGTTGCCGAATGGTTGAGTGTCCAACCTAGTACCTGAGAGGCTGCGGGTTCGAAACTCTGGGGATTTTCATCAGATGCGTATCACTAATGACTCACAATAAGCATGAAACAGCTGTCAGCCTTTCACCATAGACCGTCTGACTTAAGGGGGAATCTCCTCACACTACCAAGCATGTATAAGTAGTTCAGAAGAAAGAGCAGTTCAAACGATGAGTAAGCCTTTCATATGGAAAGTCATGGGTCGAGGACCAGTCTCATACGCGATTACGTGACATGGATTCCGTCAATGCAAGATCACTGGCACTCGATATGCTGTCTAGGCACACGTTAGTCACATTACTGGTCAGATGCTCCTGGCCGAACAGTCAAGGTTGCGGGTTCGAAACTCCCTGAAGTTTTGTAAGATGCTGGTAATTTCAAGTATGATTCAAGCTGGTTGGCTTCTGAGCACAGATATTTTTATTTACAGGACGGAATTCCCATTGCACATTCTGAAAACTCTTCACACTACGAACGAATTAAACTATCCTGTTCGTTACCACCTACCTTGTAGAGTTTACCACCACGCATGTCAATCGCGTTCACTAGCATGCTTCAGTCAAGTCTTGGAAATCTAACCTTTCCATCACACAGTACACGAAGTATCCCATCGCAACAGCTATTTATAAAAAAAAACACGCAAAGACTGAAATTCCAGTGGCCGAATGCGGAATACGTACAATAAAATTATCGACAGTCGCCTCTCCCGCAAACAAACGCTCCTTCCACTCGTGTAGGATGCGTTGTGGTGTGCACTGAAGTTGCCTCCCGTACAAGGATGTACCATACCATAGGTGTACTGTCCCACTGTCCGGTTAACGTGAGAGAAACGTATCCTGAATTTAAATGTTCACCTGCTACAATCAACGAAGTCACGCCTCAACCTTGATTATGATGAGCGCTGGTCTGCGGCGTCTGAAGAGTTTGTGCGTACACCAGTTTCTACCGGGATTCATTCTGCTCTAGCGGGATCATTGTTATTAGTCTGCACCGAAAGGAGGAAACACCGGATCTAACTTTTATCCTTAACAATAGTGTAAGAATTTTGATAATTTATCTAAAAAAAACACCTTCGAATGCTGAGAAACATGATCAGCCAATGAAATCTTAGACTTCCCATCGTTCAGTGACACGCACACTAAGGATCAGTAGATCGATGGTTCGCCAAATGCACATGTCCCAGACTAATTATCCTTTTTCCAAAATCTCCAAACACATGGGTTTTTTCGGGTAGTGATGCACATCTCTGGTTTGTAGTCATGACCTGCTGCGATCGTTCTTTTGACCAGGTTATTATCTTCGGTTGAAGGAAAACGTGCGACCAAATGTGAGTGAAATGGTTACTTAGACTGCTCCACCGATACTTGACTGAACCAATGTTGGAAGTCAGTACGACAGAGAAAGGCAAAGACGGGTTGTTATGACGCTGAATTTCGAAGTCAGTAGTAGTGATACTTCAATCTTTCCTAGACGACTAAATCGGATGACCTTTCGTCATTGAGGAGTTCGGATGCCCTCGACAGCTCGGTGTAGAGTGTCTATAATCCGTTCAAGAGCCCGACTATCCCGCCAGATTTGCGTGGAATCTCATCGAGGGCAACCCCATTCCAGTGTTACATCTGGCACAAGGTCGAGAAAGGCTGATTCGGTTCTGTTGTAAGAGAAAAGGAAACGGACGCTTGTCGACTCGAATGTGGACCAAATGTACATCACCGGTATATATATATATATATATATATATATATATATATATATATATATATATATATATATATATATATATATATATATATATATATATATATATATATATATATATATATATATATATATATATATATATATATATATATATATATATATATATATATATATATATATATATATATATATATATATATATATATATATATATATATATATATATATATATATATATATATATATATATATATATATATATATATATATATATATATACCGGTGATGTACATTTGGTCCACATT